AGATCTCAGGGGAAAGGAACTTTGCAGCCATTCTCTCTGAATGCTGGGATGTGTGTGTGTGAGTGCATAAGGGGAACCGTCTCCTAGCTCACACAATCTACCTGCTGCTCTCAGGTGCTTTTAACAAATGGATCACCAGACATAGAGCAAGCACAAATTTTGCAATGTATTTACATAGGAATTTAGGAAATGGTCATCTTGCATGTGTGTGAATTATTGTAGTGTAGCCCTGCCTTTCATTTTCTCAAGAAAATATTTCTTTCTTCCTTTCTCTGCTGGGAAAAGCGAACAGCAGTTCCAGAGAGTTCAGGTAAGAAAAGTGATTCTGTGCTTCGGATAGTTTTGCAATAGCCATGCTTGTGTTTTTTGTCCCTGTTTTATCCTTTCCATCTCACTTATTTTGTGCCAATCCAGAAGATAAAATATCAAATTTCAGGAAATATTAGTTTGTTTGTTTTTTAAATCCTTAAAAGGACAGTGCGGGCTACGAAGTAAAGGTCTGGATTGAAACAAAAGAATCGTGAGCCAAAGCCTTGTTGCTGTACAGAGAAATCTGGTTGCAAATCTTCTTACAAGAGGTAATGAGATAAGTTTGAGCCATAAAAGGAAAATGCGGTTGGGATATAATGAATGAGGCTGCAATCTTATCCCATCCTTACTTGGAATTAAGGGGTTGGAACTCAGCGAAACATACTAAGAAGTCATGTTGAAGATTGTATTAAATTAACACTGGAGTTAAAAATGAAAATCAAAACTGAATGCTGAAATCGAAGCCATTACATTTCCATTTCATGGGAATGCTGATAAAAAATTTGAGCATGTAATCTTACCAGGAAAATTAATGGAAATAGAAGCAATTATGACTAAAAATGGCAAATAAACAGAATTATTTATTTGTTTGTTTGTTTACTATATTTGTATACCCTCTCAGCCTCCCGGTGACTCGAGGCGGTTTACAAAGCAAAATTCAATGCTACAAAAACACAAGTACAATTTAAAAACGTTAACCGCAATAAAATCATAACAACAGCAATACAGAGGGAGCAATAGCTGTACCATTGTTATCTCTCAAAACGGTCGATTAATCTTTGTTCATATGAAAAACAAGATATCTTTGTTTATCAGTCTATTTCTAGTCTTCAGAGGTTAGTGCTAGTATTTATGTAGACAAGTATCAGGAAAAAACTAAAGCTTGCAGATGTACAAAAAAAATCTTTGGAAAAATCCAAGTGTGGGAAACCCACCTTCCCAATAGCCCTTCCACACAGCCCTATATCCCAGAATATCCCACATTATCTCAGAGTGGACTCAGATAACCCAGTTCAAAGCAGATATTGTGGGATTTTCTGCCTTGATGTTCTGGGATATAGGGCTGTGTGGAAGGGCCCCCAGTGAGGCTGAGTATACTCAGCCACCACAGAATGATGAGGGACTGCAAGGGAAAAAAATGAAAACAGGACAGGAGCAAGAAAGGAATGGAGTATTGTAGATGCAGACATTGGTGAGTGGATAAAATAAAGAGGAGCCCTCCACAATATCACTGTTTTGCTACTTCCACGTATATACTTTTTAATGCGCTGTTATATATGCTTTCTGGTGATAATGCTTACTGCAAGGAAACAACACATTTCAAATGCCCGGTTTATATAATCTGACCAGAACAACTGTGTCCAAGGTAGCACAATCCATACTCCAGGAGCAATGACAAACATGGTCCGTACCACATTTTAATTCTGGATGTACTGCTGTTTGAAATGTGCACCTGTAGCCAGAAACTGATAAAGAACAGGTGAAATGCAGTTATTTCTAGAACCCATACAGCAAGGAGGCAAAGTAATTCTTTAAAAGTCTTTCTTCCGTTGGTTCTGTTCTTCTGGGGAAACAGAGGCCCCTTCTATACAGCCAGATTATCTGCTTTGAATTTGATTATATGGTAGTGCAGACTTATATAAGATGGTTTGAAGCAGGATCTCAGTGGTTCTCAACCTGTGGGGCCCCGGGTGTTTTGGATAATAAATACATCTGAACTGTAGAATTGATTCAGTTTGACACTATTTTAACTACAGACTAGATGCATTTCTAGAAAAGCAGAGCAGAGCAGAGTAGAGACAGAATTCTGGCACATCAGGATAAAATTAAGAAAGAACAAAAGTGAGAAAGTGAATAGCTGTGCTTACAAATTAACATAAAATGAAAGAAACTGAGGTTGTGGACGGTATATGCACCCCCTAGTTAATTATTATGATGACCACCGCAGTTTCCCTTAGTATGTTGGTGGTATTTTCCCTCCAATGTTTTTTTTTTTTAAGTAGTGCTTTAGCGAGCATACAGACCTCAACTTCTGACAGTTGCCCAGCTCTGCCCTAAAAGAATATTGTATCCTGGTGGTTGGCATCTGAAGGCGCATCCCAGGTTATCACATGGGTTATCACATGGGTCTCCAAAATGGCTTCTGCAATAATAAAAAAAATCCCATCTTGTCTAAGATAGGAGCATGTCTGCCTAATCGTGCTTCTTACTGCACAAAGCATCTTTGAACATATTTTTTGAGAAACCGCAAACCCCATTGACCTTACCCCAGTAGCAGGGCATGACACTTTTTAGCTTTTGTAATGAGGCATGCATGTATGGTAAGTTTTGCAAAATGACACTGCCTTGCAAGATAAGGAAATGTCCAATTAATAGGCGAGAGGACAGGCAGACACATGGCTGCTGAGAGTTCCCAAGAGTTCTACTTGAGTCCCCTCTGGGGTCAAGATAGTTCTCAGTAGCCTCATGTCTCTGCCCCAGTCCTCCTCTCGGCATGGGGATGCAGTGAGCCACCATGTTCTCATGCTGAAAGGGGAGACAGAGGAGGGCCGAAGGAAGGAGCCCACATCCTCAGTTGGCCCACACTGATCCCGACTCTACACTCCTATTGATGCAACCTAGAATTGCATTGGCTTTTTAAACTGCCACATCACACCATTGACTCATGTTCAGTTTGTAGTCACATGCACTGTTTTCAAAGCAGGCATCACCCATCCTATATTTGTGTATTTCATTTTTATTGCCTAAGTGTAGTACCAGACATTATCCCTGTTGACATTCATTTTGTTAGTTTTGGCCATGCTCTCTAATCTGTTAAGATCATCTTGGATTCAGATCCTGTCATCTGGGGTATTAGTTATCCCTCTCAATTTGGCGTTGTCTACAAATTTGATAAGCATACCTTCTATACCATCATCCAAGTCATTCATAAAGGTGTAGAATATTACCAGGTCCAGGATAAACTCCTGTGGCACCCCATTGGTGGTCACTTCTCTCCAGGAGGAGTAATTGGTAAGCACCTTTTGTGTTATACAAGTCAACCAATTCCCAATCCACCTAGCTGTAGCATTGTCTAGCCCAACTTTTATTAGCTTCTTCTGAGAATGTAATGGAGAACACTGTCAAAGGTCTTATTGGCAATGAGATATGTTCTACCTATAGCAGTGGTTCTCAACCTGAAGGTCCCCAGATGTTTTGGCCTTCAACTCCCAGAAATCCTTACAGCTGGTAAACTGGCTGGGATTTCTAGGAGTTGTAGGCCAAAACACCTGGTGACCCACAGGTTGAGAACCACTGACCTATAGCATTCCCTTCATCTACCAAGATTGTGACTCTATCAAAAAAAGAGATAAAGTCAGTCTGGCATTACTTATTTTTGAGAAACAAGTTGGAAGTTGGGGACAACATTTGCCTTCTTCCAGTCTGCTGGAACTTCTCCTGTTCTCTGAGAATTCTCAAATATTATTGCTGTTGTTTCTGAAATTATTTCTGTTCTTGGATGTGGTTCATTTGGCCCCAGAGACCTGAATTCATTGAGATTAGCCAGATGTTCCTGTACTGCCCTTTTACCTATTATGCGCTGCATTTCCCAATTTTGAAAGTTCTTTAGACATCCATCCTGGTTTCTGTAGACACCTTCTGGTTATCCTCCTCATTAGAACTGTTTGAAAATGTACCTCCAATATCCTGCTTTTCAGAAACTCCAATCCATTATTATTATTACTGTCATCATCATCATCATCATCATCATCATCATCGTCATCATCATCTACATTTCTATACCGCTTTTCTCACCCCTGGGGGGACTCAAAGTGGTTTACAACATAATAAATGGCAATTCAATGCCTCACCTATATATAAAAACATAACATATATAAATCAATAACATATAACTGTAGATAAAAACTATTAAAACTATTAAAACATTAAACATAAACATAAGCATAAAACATATTATTGCTGCAATTAACAATGTAAACCCCTTCCCAACTCTCTCTCCATAGCATTTCAGCCCTTCTTTTTATATGCTCCCTGCTTCCCTCACATCCCAACAGACACAAAGTTATTTGGGTACAGATTGAATACATCATACTTTCTCTTTTAGTATTTAGTATGTCCATGGGAACATACTCAGGTTTTCTCTATGGTTACTGAAGTCAGTTTTCTAGAGAGCATGCCGGACTATGCTTGACTTTTCCTTTCTGCTATATAACATACTCTAGAACAGTAGTTCTCAACCTGTGGTTTGCCAGATGTTTTGGCCTTCAACTCCAGAAATCCTAACTTCTGGTGAACTGAATGGGATTTCTGGGAGTTGTAGGCCAAAACACCTGGGAACCCACAGGTTGAGAACCACTGCTCTAGAAGAACATGATCTTTTGCACCTAAGGAATCCACTACATCCACCTCATTTACCAGATCATCACTGTTGGCTAGGGTCAGATGTCACTCCTGTTAATCTTTTTCTGTGTTTTAGCACAGTTGTGATAAACCAAAACGGTATGCTTCCCACAGTATGATTCTACCAGGTCTAATGGTGTTAAACTCAGCTAATCCAGATCAGAAGCTCAGGTTTTTAGTGTTTAACCACTGTGTAAAGTATGGGAAGGGACAAGTCCTGATGTGTCAAGATCTCTTTCATCATTATACAAGCAGCTGTCTAGAGGCTGCAAAACATTATTTTATATGTTTGAAAATGCATTCTCATTTCAGCACTATCTTATTTTGTAAGCACAGGAACATAAGCTGCAATAAGATTGGTTAGCTCGCTGCCACCTACACATGCTTTCTGACAGACTATGCTTCTGCTTTGGAGGGAAGACTTCTAGTAAACTCACCCTACTGAGATGTTTCTGCTGATGGCTACATCGGAAGTGTTCCTGATTTTGGGCTGGATATGGCGGTCAGACTGCCTCTGCTCACCCACCACATTTTTCAAGAACTGTTGGATCCGGCGCTTCCCAGGTCTTGCAATTGACCTGGAGAATTCACAGAAGAAAGGAGCCCACATCATCAAAGTATATGCAGAATCCACAGCACAGCGGTGTAGCCAGACTTGTTGCCTTCTCAAGAACGGTAAGAACTAGTTTGTGCTTTTAAGAAATCAAAGCCGTCTATAGTACAGTAAAAACATCGAGGGGGTTGCTTTTTAAAATTGAAGATGGTTGTATAGTATAGTATTGTATAGTATAAAGCCCACTTCCCAACTTTCTGTTGAATTCTATAGGCAACTTGTGGTCTTCCATATATTGTTGAACTACAATTTCTATAACTCCTGACAGGGTCATCTATGAGTATAGACCATGATATCTATAGAGCTATCGGTTTTATCCCCCACCACCCTACTCTAAAGTGGCCAGGAGGTTATTTATTTATTTGTTGTGTCAGAGCAACCAGTCCATTATATTACATTTCTAACAGAACAAAGCAGACAAACAGAAAATGCAAAACTTGTGAGTTTGGTAGTTGGTTAAATGTCCTTTATCCAGTATCTGGCCACTTGGAGTGCCTCCGGTGTTGCTGCAAGAAGATCCTCCATTGTGCATGTGGCTGGGCTCATGTTGCATTGCAGCAGGTGGTCAGTGGTTTGCTCTTCTCCACACTCACATGTCGAGGATTCCACTTTGTAGCCCCATTTCTGAAGGTTGGCTCTGCATCTCGTGGTGCCAGAGCACAGTCTGGTCAGTGCCTTCCAAGTCGCCCAGTCTTCTGTGTGTCCAGGAGGGAGTTTCTCATTTGGTATCAGCCATTGGTTGAGGTGCTGGGTTTGAGCCTGCCACTTTTGGACTCTCGCTTGCTGAGGTGTTCCAGCGAGTGTCTCTGTAGATCTTAGAAAACTATTTATTGATTTAAGTCGTTGACGTGCTGGCTGATACCCAAACAGGGGATGAGCTGGGGATGTCTCTGCCTTTCACTATTGGCTGCCACTTCCCGGCGGATGTCAGGTGGTGCAATACCGGCTAAGCAGTGTAATTTCTTCAGTGGTTAAACACAGTAATTCCAAAATATTTATCAGGTTTTAGATGGAATTGTTCAGTCAGATAGGTAAAAAATTACATTTTCTACAAGTATCAATATATAGAAAACCTGCTTTGTTTGAAGATTTGAGTTGGGAATTGTAAGTTACATTTGAATTGCATCCAAGAGACTTTGTTGCATTTCTAAATATTACTGAAAACATCCCTGGACATATATTATATAATAGCAGTTTCTCCTGACATGCAAAAATCAGAGTCCAGGAGGACCAGACCCCCAAACTCTGTACCTGTGTCTTCATGGGGAATGGATCCCTATTCCATGTTCTGCCTTTCGAGACCCTTACTGGCATATTCCTTGATTGCGGGTTTTGGGGTCCTTATAAGGTCCTGGGGTTTCAACAACAATAGGACCAGGGATTCTAAATACCTAATGAAAGTATGATCCCAGGGTTTACAATTACCTTTGATCTCAAATTATTTCTATAGTATTCTCAGATTTTAAACAATCCTGTTTCTATTTTTTTTGTTTTGTTTACTATGACAGCATCATGTTAAAAGAAATCTCAAGGCATCCAAAGACTGGTCCAAATATCTCTTTTATCCTGTGTCATCTCAAAGCTTTTCTTCTTTCCCTATTCCTAGTTTCCTGTAACGTGGCAGTTTTCTACTACGAAGCCAACAACCCGAATCTTAAGTGCTTGCACATTTATTGCCCAATGCTGGAGAGCTGTATACTGAAGCCTAAGGCCAATGTTGTATTATACAACATCACAGCAGGTAAGATACTATTACACAGCAAGGAAAGCTTGTGTGATGTGTATAAATGTGTTTAACAAGTTTACAACACAACCTTTTTATAAAATGTATCTTGAGGATGGACAGTTGAAGTAGAAAAATGATGGGGAAAGATATGCTGAACCATTTCCCTGGCCACTCTATAAATTACTCCGCTGACGCTGTTACCTAGTTTTCTCCTTTTCTATTTAAACAGGTGGGAAAAGGCTATAGAATTGTGGTCTGAATACCCACCATTATTAAGAACAACTGAGACAGCTGGGTATGTTTAGCTTTAGGTAAAGGTTTTCCCCTGACATTAAGTCCAGTCATGTCTGGGGGTTGGTGCTCATCTCCATTTCTAAGCCAGAGCCAGCATTTTCCGTAGACACCTCCAAGGTCATGTGGCGGGCATGACTGCATGGAGCGCCATTACCTTCCCACCAGAGCGGTACCTATTGATCTACTCACATTTGCATGTTTTCGAACTGCTAGGTTGGCAGAAGCTGGGGCTGACAGTAGAAGCTTACGCCGCTTCCCGGATTCGAACCTGTGACCTTTTGGTCAACAAGTTTAGCTTGGAAAAGAGAAAACTGTGACATGATACGAAAGCTATCTTTAAATGTCTGAAGGGATATCATGTAAATATAAGATAGAAGAAGTATGTTTTCTGTTGCTCCAGAGATCAGAATACAAATGGCTTCCAATTACAAGGAAACCTGTTAATACTTGAACTCTGGTTTGTGTTTTACCCACAAATATTTTGTCCTGAATTGCATGACTTTATATCATCACACCTTTGCCCTTGTGTTCTCCGCTGTTTGTTAAGATCTGTAGGTTAGATAAGATATAACATTTAACTAGCTAGTAGGCATGTGCAAAAAAAAATGGAAGAGACAGGAATTGTAAGAAAATTGGAAGTTTTGTAAGTCGGAAGTCATAATTGAAGTATTTGTGTGGCCCACACCAAATATTTTAGAATCAAAACTTATGCCATTCTTTTTTTAGTTTTGTAAATCTCAGAAGGCTCCCAAAGTAAGTTTCATATTCAGTGCAAGGAATAAAGCGATTAAGCCAAAAAGGCTGCCTACCTTGCCATTCCTCTCCCTGGAATTAATGGAGCGGTGAAAAGAGAGAGCAGTGCATTTTGGGAAGGGGAGGAGCCCTATGCCAAAGAATTCAAAAGTAAACTACATTTCCCAGTATGCATAAGTATCAGAAAGCCCCAATTAGGACAGGAGATCGGTCTGTAGCCAGCCAGACTTCCAAAACATTTGTTAATATTCTACACTATGATTTCTTTTCCTGGGTTAAAAATGGCAGTTCCTAATTAGTTCTGTCATAAAAACATGGGGAAAGTTTATTACACTGCAAAAATTTTGTATTTGTGCAAGAGACATTGTTCCATAAATAGCACATTTTGCTTTGTCGAGTCTCCACCAATTTAGTGAAGTTTCTGCCACAAAAGCAAAGTTTCTGGAGTAGAATAACTACTTTCAAAGTAAGGACTACACCATTAAATAGGAAGTAACACTTTGAAACTAGGAAGAGATTTTCTTTATTAAAAAATGTTGGGTTGCTGTAAGTTTTTGGGCTGTATGGCCATGTTCCAGAAGCATTCTCTCCTGATGTTTCGCCTGCATCTATAGATGCAAGCGAAACATCTGAGGATGTCTGCCATAGATGCAGGCAAAATGTCAGGAGGGAATGCTTCTGGAAAATGGCCATACAGCCCAAAAACCTTACAGCAACCCAGTGATTCCCGCCATGAAAGCCTTTGACAACACTTTAAAAATGTTTATAAAAACTTTGAAAATTTGCCAAAAGTCTGTGGATAAGTGAACAGTTCTGAAATTTGGTGGGCTAACAGTGGTAAATGTGTTTTCCCATTGTAGCAAGTTTTGCCCCAATAGCTTTAAAAATGAGGGATATAGGAAATTTTCCCAATTGTAGTAATTTATTGTGCGCAATTACAGTAATGAAATAGTAACAAAATTTCCTTAGTCTCAATATAGTAATGAAATTTTCAATAAGTATTCTTTAGAAACACTTTAGAAATGAAGTGCCAGCACCGCCCCAATAGCTTTAAAAATGAGGGATATAGGAGTCCCTGGAATGTTCCCAATTGTAGTAAATTAATTGGGCGCAATTACAGTAATTAAATAGTAACAAAATTGCCTTAGTCTCAATATAGTAATGAAATTTTCATTAAGTATACTTTAGAAACACTTTAGAAATGAAGCACCAGCACCCCCCAGTTTTGTAATGACTTTGAACCATGTTTTTAATGGATCGCACATCCCTACCTAGCATATTCTACCAGCAGAGACTGAACAAAACCCTAATTTTGTTGTTGAGGTTAACCTTTTGTTAGAAAGGCTTAAGAGTTTGAGTGCATAAAAATAAAGAGTATCAGAACATGTAATTTTCTCCCTAAGACGTATGACTGTGTAGCAGTTTTCACAGTAGCTTTATTACTGTGCTGTAACACTGAACTAAAGCTTGTGTTGTTATTGTTGTTGTCATTATTATTATTATTATTATTATTATTATTATTATTATTATTATTATTATTATTATGGATTCTATTCTAACAGGCATTGATCCAGATCTCCTTGTGTTTGAGAAGCTCTCTTTTAAAGACAGAACTACTAAGTCTTCTTTTCATAAATGGGAAAGGCATGGAAACGTAAGGGCTGCTGATTCAGACAAATGCCAAGACTCAACCACCACTTCTAGGGGCCTTCTCCCCGAGACCACATCTTCTGCAGCAGTACAAGGACTAAAAACTAACAGTAAAGCTACAAGGACTGTAAGTGGCCCTGTGTACAAGAACGCGTCCATTACATATTTGGAACCTACAGTGGCATCAGTGGAAGGTCATTTTACTACCGCGACAGACATTATTTCAGAAAGAAAAGGTCCAAGAGCCACATCTGACAATGCAACTGCACTTCCTACCTCCACATTCACATCCATCAAGATGTTGTCACATTTACCCAGTATGGCCCATCTGAACACCAGCAAACACCTGAATGAAACCAAAGGTTATGGTGGAAGGAATTATACTTCAGATGATCAAGGCCATAAGCCAGCTTGGGAGGGAGTAGGAAGGAAGAGCTGGTTGCTTCCAGTGATGCTTTGTTCTTCACTCATCCTGATCTGTTGTTGCAGCATTTTTCTTGCCACAGGATGCCGTCGCAAGAGGCATGGCCGCTATACACCAAGACGGAGGGGAAGGGCCAGCGTACAGGCAAAAATGGTCTTTAATGGCCAATATGTCAAATAAAGTGGATAGTTCAATATCTCACATTTCAAAAGGACAGACTATAGTGGATAGCTGCATGGGTAAGAAATGGAAAAGTAGCTGCAATTGTTTTAAAAAGGAATAATTTTTTTGTCTATTTGACGATTACATTAGAACAAGATCTAATTTTTCAGGATATATGCTTTCTGTTCGCTACAGCTGACAGAGTTCCTTTGTCTATCACTGTAGCATCTTCTGAAATGTCCAGTAATGGAGGTTGTAAGGCCACAAACACTCTGTCAACATATCAATATTACATATGAACACTTGAGTCAGAGAAGGAATCTAGAGGCACTTTTATACCAAAAATAAATAACTGAAAATTGCACTGAGATGCTGCACAATCTAAGAGCAGTTTGCATCCTCAAACATCCCTGTATGTAATATTCAGATTTTAACCACATCACCCAACAACAAAAAATATTGGCGTTTTTGGTTTTAGGCCTGCTCCTGGAGTTAATTGGGATGCGGATTCAGAAAATTGCATTGGATAGACCACATCAGTTCCAGTTTTTTAGAAATGGTTATCATGATCTTCTATGGGGGAGCAGGTGGTGACCGGTATGTCATGTTCTATATCTCAAAAATTAAGAGTTAAGGAACTGGTGCCATTTTTTTGAACCAGCAGGTCAAATATACCCCAAATCAGGTCTAACATTTGAGGCAACAAAATGTGTATTGGCCTGTGTTATTATTTTATTGCAGCCAGAACTCCAGGTGGCTTACAATAAAAAAACAGATATGGTATTTTGGTAGGACAAGGCAGCCATGTATGATCAAGCCTGAAGTCCTACTAAACATCCAGACTAGGGAGAGTACACTAACCCTGTATGCTCTATAAAAAATCACCTGTTAGATGAGATTTTTCCAATGGTGGGGGGCCCATTATTCGGAAATGTTAAACCTCTGGGGTTCCTGCCCTTCTTTGAATTAGCTAACAGATGATTTTTGGATAATTCATATAGACCAGGGGTCCTCAAACTTTTTAAAAAGGGCCAGGTCACAGTCCCTCAAACTGTTGGAAGGTCGGATTATAATTTGAAAAAAAATATGAATGAATTCCTATGCACACTGCACATATCTTATTTGTAGTGCAAAAAACCACTTTAAAACAATACAATAATTAAAACGAAGTACAATTTTAAGAAATATAAACTTGTTAGTATTTCAATGGGAAGTGTGAGCCTGCTTTTGGCTGATGAGATAGGATTGTTGTTGTGTGCTTTCAAATCATTTCAGACTTAGGGTGACCTTGAGCAAGGGCCGGGTAAATGACCTTGGAGGGCCGTATCCGGCCCCCGGGACTTAGGACCCCTGATATAAACAGTGCAGTATTTTTGAAAATATCTTCGATGAAGAGAAACAAAACACACAACTCATGCTCTGACTTGCTTAATTCACTGATCAATATTGCGGTGTGCTAAATCAGAACTTACGGGTCAAGGATCTATAATACAATTAAACATGCCACAAGCTCTGAACAGTACTAAGCACTATTTCTAAGACAGTAGCTAATAATGCAACTACCTTTTGACTGTTAGGACAGATGGCGTGGTTCTCTGCTGTGTAACATATGCCAGACAAGCTTTCTTACAAGATAGGAATGCAGTCAACATTCCTCGCCCTGCATGCTCTCAAAATAAAGCACTGCCAATCACACTCTGAATGTCTTAAAACATCCTTTTAAAAAATTTGAACCTCAAATTTGAAACTTTTGACATTTTAAATCCTCTGACTTGTCCATTTAAACTCCAAATTGTTCAATATAAACTGAAACTAAAAACTGGTGGAGTATCTTTAAACATCTACTTCTGCTGTAGTCCTTATTTTGTTTTTTATGTTCCAATGAGGATATAGGAACATAATAGCTATGCCAGTTAAATAGAATACAGACTCATACAACAGCAATGGCAATAGATGTTTAAATATACTGATAATTGGCCAAGTAACAGAGAACCCACCATGCTGTTACTGAAAGTTCCCTTCTCATCTTTTTCTTTGCACAAATCTTTTTACATAAGCTATACTTCAAGAAATATGAAAACTTAACACCAGCTTTATATCCTCCAAGGCAGCATAATTTTTGAGAGTAAATACAATCCCTAAAGTATTTAATTACTAGGCAACAGAAGTTGGTTGGTTTTCTAAGACAAAATGTTTTGAAAGGAATACAGGTACTGTCACCTGTATAAGAACTCGAAAGTAAGAATGTAATCACGAAGATGAAACTAGACACAGTTGTAAATTTTATTATGCACATTGGTCATATGTAACATATGTAGTTCCACATTAAACAGGTTTTGATACTACAACCTATTCAGATTTAGTAGTTTCTTAACAGATTCCTTGTACTGAGAAAGATTCTTCTCTGTTTCGCCTTCGTTTCTCAGTGCAACCATTGAGTTTTTATAAGACATAATGATGTCTGAGCCAAGAAGTGTTTCTTTGTTGATGTCTTGGATTTTTTCAGCAGATCTTATTCGGAGCAGAGTATCCAAAACATTCTGTTCAGATGGACTATTCTCCCAGACGTACTCCTCCATGTCAGCCTCTGTCTTGTCTTTTTCCCACGTTTCMGTTTTCTGAAAGACAGAAAATGCTTTAGAGCAGTGGTTCTCAACCTTCCTAATGCCGTGACCCCTTAATGCAGTTCTTCATGTTGTGGTGACCCCCCAACCAAATTTGGCACAATTACTAGATACACCCAAATTTGAATACCGGTGGGGTTGGGGGGGGGTGGGTTGGTTTTGGTTTTGGCAAGGCTAGGCCCCGCACGAAGCCTCTCTCGCCTAGATCGCGCTCCTGCCGGGCGGCAGTGGTGCGATCTAGGAGAGAGAGACTTTGTGCAAGGCTAGGCCCACACGAAGCCTCCCTCGCCTAACCCGCGTTCCTGCCAGCCGGCGGGATTACGATCTAGGCGAGGGAAGTTTCATGCAAGGCAGCCATTTTGAGGGGGCGGGGCCAACCGAGGCCCCTTCGCGACCCCCAAAAAATAGCCCAGCGACCCCCCTGGGGGTCGCGACCCCCAGGTTGAGAACCGCTGCTTTAGAGAGAGAGAAAAAAACTGAATGGGAAGATAATTAGAACTGCCAGGAATTCACATGTTCTGAATTTCTGGCTTCCAAAATGTGTTTCAAGGAACTGTGATGTTCCTTCAAATCTTAGCAGAAGTTTCTCAAGAACAGTCCTTATGGCAGCAAGGTTTTCTTGAATGACAATGTTAACACCAGTATTGGCTGCATATGTATACAGTGTTCCCTCGCTACTTCACAGTTCACTTTTAGCGGACTCGCTGTTTCGTGAGTTTTTGAAAATATCTATAAAAAATATAAAATATTTAAGTCTAGTGGAGACCAAAGACCCCGGAAATGCGAAGGCCTCAGGTGCGGCAGGGAAGGCCTGCCTCCCTGGCCTGCTGGTGCCTGCAGAGGGTCTGCAGAAGCCAGGGAGGCAGGCAGGAACCCTTGGGTTGGGCTGGGAGGCGGGTAAGAAAGTGTGGGTAAGAAAACAATATATAAAATAATGTATAAATATTAAAATGAATGTGGTATCCCTGCTTCTTGGATTTTCACTTATTGCAGGTGGTCCTGTAACGCAGCCCCCATAATAAGTGAGGGAACACTGTCCAAAGAAAGAAAACTGGTTAAGATACTGTATCAAAACCTCCTGGAATGTGACAATGAGAAAGAACTAATCAAGGATAACATGATCAAATGGGCAGTAGATATTGGACATTCAATACTCTTAAAAGAATGGGAATATGTATGGAATAGCAAATTAAGATATACAAGTGCTACTACTATAATAGAAAACTGGTATAAAATGTTCTACCGCTGGTACCTCACACCGGTACAACTATCTAATTTCTACAAAATTTACAACAGCCAATGCTGGAAATGTGAAAGAGAACCGGGATCATATCTCCACCTATGGCGGGGTTGTAAGACAATTACAAAGTACTGGACAATAATTCACAAGCACTGCCAAAAGATTATCAAGATAAAATATGATCTAAAACCAGAATACTATTTGCTGAACATAACAGACTTTGAAATGGGGAAAAATGAAGAGAAGATTTTGTTTTACCTTACTGCTGCGGCAAGAATAACGATTGCCCAGAATTGGAGAGACAGAGACCCCCCCCCTAATAATCGAGGACTGGTTTTCCAAGATTTTTTATTATCTGAGACTGTCCCAGATAATAAAAAATCAGAAAAAAGAAAACCAAATCAAGTGGAAAAAACTTAAAATATATCTGCAGAAAAAATGGAGTTCAATATATAAATAAGTGAGCAATCCCTTAAGAAAATGTCTTCTCTTTATTTATGTTTGTATCTCTGCGGAACAAACTGGAAGCCCCCCATCCCACCTCCATCCCCCTCTTCCCCCTGACACACCCTCTGATCCTCCTAACAATTTCTAACCCAATCCTCCTCTGGCCCACTTCCCCCCCCCCCCCCCCCCAATTCCTAATCCACAGCAATCTTTCCAAAAACCCATCCCCTAAACCCTCCTCAATTTCCTACTTTCCTATTACTATTATTGTTACCCCTCTTAATTTGTTATTCTCTCACAAAAGTCGGCAAAAAAAATATTTTAAAAAAATAAATGAGGCACATTTACAGGGGCTCATTAGAGAGTATTGCATCTTCCGCTATCTAATGTGTGGGAGCAATAATTTCTTCCCCCAATGTGCCAGGGACTGATACAATGTTGGCTAATAGGTGTTTCCTTCTTGGCAGCCCCAGTCCACATACAACTGCCTTCAAGTAGCACCATTTTAGGATATACGCTCCTTTTATTCAGCTATGGTGAGGTTCCCAACACATGATTATGCATGAATTGACTTTTATAATGTTATTCTGGTAAGATTTTTAGCGTATTAATGTAACATAAATATAACATATATTTTCAATAAATCATTAAATTTTAATTTAGGATATTAAAGTAGTTCTCCACCCCACCAAGGCATTAATAAAAAAACCAAAACAAAACAGCAGAATAAAGGTTGATCAAGGTCAATAAACTTTCCGCATAATTTCCCAAATCTTTCCCACTCTTCAAGAGGCCATGAAATTATGTCTCTCTTTCTCCACAAAAGTACTTCAACACAGGAAGGAAACTGAAGAAGAAAAACATTTTTTCACTTCCACACTCCTGCCTAGAGGTCCACAAGCTTTAGAAACAGGAATTATAGTGCTATAGTAACTATTTAAGAAGGTGCCCACTATTCTGTATTTATTCACTCATAAAGATTGGGTGATACATTGAACAAATTCTCTGTATTACGTTTACAATTTCACCACTGGGTGGCAGCAATCCTTTAAACATTCAAAATTTAGAGGTATAGATGAATTAAAGCTTGCTTACACCATGCATCCCATGGAATTACTGTAAATACTAACTGTGAAACAAGCACAATTTTTATTACATAATTAGTGTTTAAATTATAAGATCACTGAAGCAAAATCTTTTTAAACAAAATTATTTTGGTGATTTTTTTTTTATTCAAGTGTATCCCTAAAGCGGTTTGGATGGACGAATGGGGAGAAAAAAATATATTCTTCCAATAATCTGGGCAAATATGTTACCACCCTGTGTAGTATCTTCGAGGTTTCTGCGTGAACAAAGTACAAGATTGCTGCAGATGCTGCATACTGCTTACCACTAGCTTTTGGGCTGAATTTACAGTGCAGGAAAAGGTTATTCATCTTATCAGAAAAGGAACCACCCCTTTATTTGAGTGGAATGGCAAAAGTCAAGAGCTTAGTCTATCCTGAGAGAACCTTATAAAAAGTACTGACCCTCCTTGGTTCTTTTTGCTATGATGCTGCTTTTGACCTTTTTGTATGTCTGGTTTTGGGGTAGGGTGGCAGCAACAATGGCCTGGAGCAGCCGGTCCCTTGAACTTTTACCTTTCTGTGGAATTTTTTTTAAAATGTCAGGAACAACTTGAGACACTGCAAGTTGCTTCTGGTATGAGAAAAATGGGCGTCTGCAAGGACGTTGCCCAGGTGATGCCCGGATGTTTTTGATGTTTTACCATCCTTGTGGGAGGCTTCTCTCATGTCCCCACATGGAGAGCTGGAGCTGACAGAGGGAGCTCATCCGCACTTTATCCAGATTCAAACCTCCAACCTGTCAGTCTTCAGTCATGCCAGTACAAGGGTTTAACCCACTGCACCACTGGGGGCTCTGCAGAATGCCCCTTGGGTTACTAAAATCCATACTATCGGCCTCAAAATCTACTGTTAATTTTTACATAAAGTCAATTTATACATTACTTATTATTATTATTATTATTATTATTATTATTATTATTATTGCATTACTGGAAATTAAGCTGGAAAGACATCCTGAGGGTCTCGGAGATGCCTTAAATAGATAACAAATCTTGACTATCTTTTTACAAACCAGCATTTCCAGACAAAAATATCTCGTGCCAATGTCCAAAATGTGGCTATTTGCTTCTTTGAGAATGATTCTACCTGTCTCTAACACATTGTTACATTGTTCTTTAAAAAGTTCTCTACATTAAGTCAACTTGTTCATTTTTTTAGCTGGTTGCAAGCCTCCACTTCTTGAAATGACACCTGAAGGCGGGTGGGTAATTCAGTTCTCAGAATATTTGGATGAAGCTGAACTTCTGTTAAGCTGATTTCAAATGAATGAAACACATTTGAAGACTCCTGCATAGATACGGGTAAACCCAGGCCTGCGGACCAGATGTGGTCCCTTGGACTCCTTCCTCCGGCACTCCTCTGTCTTCACATCCTCTCAGCCTAGAGGAAGACCGAGACAAAGACATGTGGCTGTCTGTCCTCTCAGCATGAGAGCCCCACAAAACCCTGATGAGGCACTGAACTCAACTAGAACTTGGAACCTACGGCAGACTAAATGGGACCTAATTAACTGAGACTCAATCCTGGCAAGAAAATTGTTTGATAAAGCAACAAGAGCAATCTGGAATTTGTTTTGTTTGTTTTGGGTAAAGCTGCACTTCTTTTAAAAAATCAGATCTGCAGCTTAGGAACAAAGATCTGGTCTCACTTCTGAAGGTTGACTGGTTAATCAGGTCTTGAATTGCCATTCACACATTCCAGCTAGCCTGCTAGCCATGTCCAATCTTTATAAAAACTAGGTATTTCCACAAATGTCTATACTTTGGGGTGAATGGCTTTGAGTACTGAAGCTTTAAATCAGGGGTCCCCAAACTAAGGCCCTCCAAGGTAATTTACCCGGCCCTCGCTCAGAGCCTACCTAAGTCTGAAACTACTTGAAAGCACACAACAACAACAACAATCCTATATCATCAGCCAAAAGCAGACCCACACTTCCCATTGAAATACTAATAAGTTGATTTTTGTTAAAATTGTTCTTCAATTTATTATTGTATTAAGGGGTTTTTTTGCATTCATGTTTTTTTTTCCAAATTATAATTCAGCCCTCCAACAGTTTGAGGGATTGTGACCTGACCCTATGTTTAAAACATTTGAGGACCCCTGAACAGTGTTCAGCTGCTCCCCCAACTATTTTTTTTAAGCTTCTGGCAAAGCCACTGACAAACTTTTTAAAACTTATTTTTTAATTATTTTTTTTAAAAAATTGGCCACTGACCGTCTAGTCACAAATATTTCCATGTCGTGATATTGTTTGATCACAATTCACCCCATGCTCACACAAAGCATTTTATAGCTAATTTTATTTAAAACTTCTGTCTCTCCCACAAACAATTTAAAGATATTTTGCTACTAAACTCAGGATGCACCTACTCAGAAATTAAGAATTTGCACCTCTAAAGCTGTCAGAATGTATATATGTAGTTCCCTTCTGAGGGATCCCTCCGACCATGGAAAAAATCCAATGCGTTGTAGCAGGCCATGAATTTTTCATTGAAATCAAAGACAATTACAACTGATGAGGTCATTAAATATTCATGTGGAAGTTGAAAGGTAATAAAAGGGCATGAGACATGTGTGTATTCAATACACACCAAGCACTCACACAAGTAATATCATATGGCCAAGTCTTCCATCACTAAGTAATGCTAGAGTCAAGGACAGATGTGTTGATCTGCAATTAATGACCCCAAGTGTTGAGCTTCCAGCATTTAGAACCAATGTATGGATGCCTACAGAAAAGTAGACCTCTGTGAAGGGAAATTTACCCTTTTACTTTAATAAACTCAAATAACATTTGTTTCTATATTTGCAGCATGATATACAACAGTGATGGATTCCTTAGATCAGTGTTTCTCAACCTTCCTAATGTCGCGACCCCTTAATACAGTTCCTCATGTTATGGTGACCCCAACCATAAAATTATTTTTGTTG